TTCCTTAATGAAATGCTTATTCAACCCCACATGCTCCATAAGCACCATGTATTTTCCCCCTTTCTGGGAACTCCCTTCAACATGCATCCCTTATATGCCACTTGCTCAGTATGGAAAGGGTGAGGAAAGGAGACAGGCAGGTTCTTGAGGGGTTTAAGCAGATTAGCAGCCAATGTCCCCCCTCTTGCTCCCATGTAACCGAGCAATGTGAGTCCTGGGAGCTGCCTGTGAACAGGGATGGGGAAGAACCCTGGCTTGTGTGCAGAAGAGGCTGAATTATAATTACACAAGATGTATGGGAGGGTGTCATGTGCCTCGCAAAGCAGGGTGGTAGATTAAGCCTGAGGAAGCGGAAATCTCTAGGTGTAGCTTCCCTTTCTCCCCACCCTGCAGGAGGATGGTAGAAGAGGTGGGTGGATTCAATGTTCCTGTGTGTGTAGCTGCAGGTGTTGGGCCAGTAGCTTTGGAGGTGAATGTTCTTCATCCTCGAGGCCATCTGCAGGACACGTGCAGGTGGTAAAGGTGGTGGTGGGGCAGAGTCTAACAGTGATGGCTAGTGTTAGCCTGCTGAGAGGGCAGTAGTAAAGTGCAGTTGATGTTGTGCTGCAAAAGGGGTGAGCAGCCTGCCCTTGCAGTTGCTGATGTGACTGTGGGAGTGTCAATGCAGTATCTGTCACTGACCACCCTCTCTGTGAAGGAGCTCTCATCATTGCCATTGGAGCAATGGGATCTCAGGCTCAAAAAGATGAATGACTAGACCTGAGAACCAAATACAGATTACTCAGTCCTCTCCAAAAGACCATCTCTCCCCTTTTCTGCATTTTAATGATATTAGCAACCTCTAAGCACCAAGAGTCTCATAAACTTTCCAGATTATAGTAATAATAACATTGTACAGTACACTGCACTGGGAATAAAGTTATTTTATCCACTCCAATTTCCTTTTGTTTTAATGTGTAAATATATCAAGTGAAAGCATAGTAGGAAATCTCAGTGCAGAGGCCAAATGCATTGCAAGCCAGCCCTTTCTGACGAAAGGCCTAATGCTGCAGGTTCAGAGCCTGATTTTTTCCTTTGTAAAGCATCTGGCACTGGATGGCCCAATTTCTTTGGAGGATTTTGTATTGGGAGCCTTCCCTAAGTTGATCTGTCACCTGGAAGTGGAAAGGAAGTGATGATGCATCTGTTCCTCGAAATCTTGGGAAAAAGGGTAGGGAGCAACGTGTCCCCTCTTCCCCCACAGAGGTCATCAAAGGTCTTCCTAGGACCTCTGCTTTGGGGTTCACCAGCCTGAGGAGAGGTATCCTGCTCCAGAAGGACTTAGCAGGGCAGGTCATTATCTGTGCAAGGGCTGTTCTTTGTGGAGCACTGCTGAGAATGGCTGAGATTACTGCTTCATCTCCAGCACCTGGCCTCGTGCTCTGGCCTTTCTTTTGCCTCCTAAGGGCCTTCTGTGCAACTGTTTACTCTGACAGGCATGGTCCTGCTATCCTGTAGTGCTGGCAATGTGCAAACTGTCTGCATGCTGAAATCCTCCAGGAGACCTGGGGTGATGTCAAACAATAATGTATTCGTTCTGTTCAAGCACATTAAAAGTGCAATTAATCCTCACAATGTCTCTGCCCATCTGTAATATGGCATGAGGTGACTTTCCCAGCCTCTGTGTGCTGTGTCAGGCTGAGCCTGGAACTGAGACCTTCCTGAGTCTCACCTTGTGATTTAGTGCAATCCCCTAAGAGCTGGGTTGGTTCATTGCTCAGCCCTCACCACTTTGCTAATATCAAGTTGTAACCAAAGGTAGAGTTTCTCAGACTCCTATGCCATCTACCCAAATGCTTTTCTCTCCAAGACAACCCCAAGCTTTCTGACCTCCTTTTTGAGAGATCTGTGTTCACGTGGGGTTTAAGACATGGAAAAATGGTGGTTGTTCTGCTGGGCACCTTGTGCTGTGATTGCAAGAGAGATATTACAGCTTAAACAGTGGGTATTCACTTAAAGGGATGCCCTTTCCAATGAATATAGCTGAAAGGTATTAGTGATGTTAACACAGCAAGTTAGGACACCTATGAATAAAGCTGGCTGTGCACACCCTTGCTTGTAGGCTTCATTACAGCCTGGTGGACCAAGGGAAAATTTGGGAGAAGAGGACAAAATTATGACACAGGGCTTATCCCTAGGGTTGTCATTTTGCTGTAGACTAGTGCCATATAACGCTTTGTAGTGCCAAATAAGGATTAGTTTAAATAGTATTTCTATCAGACTCAGAGAGACACCAACAAATTACCATACGGTATTTTGGCACCAGAATAGTTGCACAAAACCCCTCTAATCCTGTACCACTGTACCTAATGATTTTGCTGTGGAAATTCCCCGTGTAGAAATGCCTTTAGGCGGGTGGCAGGAAAGGGTTACAGAAGACAGGTTAAATTATGGAAGTGGGATGGCCAAAGGGAAAAAATTTGTAAGTTGAAAGACTTACATTTTATACCATGTGGGGTACAGCAGAGCAACTTAAGGAAACATTTAACTGGGAGCTAGAGCTACAGATAAATATTCTGATTCTCCATGGGGTGGCTGGAAATTAGTTTTTGCAGCAAGGTCATGTTTGCAAAGGGAGAATAGAGCCACCAGCCGGCAAATGCAGCCCAGAGACTGTGAAGAGAGGTTACAAGAGCTTTGCTGCTGCAGGGTGTCAGGACCCCACTGAAATGCAGGCAGCACAGGTCGGGGATGGGGAGGAGTATGGTACAGGATGGGAAGAGACAGGGTCTCTCTCTTAATCATAGAGCAGGGATTTTTCAGCATCACAGCCTGGGGTCTCAGCACTGTTAGCGATGCTCTGCAGTGCACATGGGGTTAAAGGTCTGATGGCAGGTCTGCAGAGGACTGATCTGAGGGCTGAAACAACACAAGAGACTGCCATTTAGATTAAGGTGTATTGGCAAAGGTTATATAGGCTTCTGAATTACTCCTCTGCCACACTTGACAAGCATTCATGATGTCTTTTCCTGATAAGTCAGTATTTTACTTAATGTATTTACATATCTCTATGTATATACATACATGTATGTGTATACAAACACACAGATGTATGTAAGCACGTATATGGGTTTCTGCTTTCTCCTGTGTTCAACAAGACTCTTCTGCCATCCAGGCAGGAGGAAGGTCACTCATCTGCTCAGTTGTGTTAGTGAAGCTTTGACAGTCGGTTTCAGCATTCCATGATGCTCGAGTGATAGCAGGCATGTTCCTGGGAGCCCTGCAGAGGGGTAAGACAGGAGAGGCTGAGGGATTTGTCTATGTTTGTGCCATCATATTATTCAAATACACATGTTGCTTCTGTTAGTCAACAGTTTGGACAGTAATAATGATTTTAACAAAGTGCCACCACGCTGCAAAGACAGAATAGTTGCAAGAAGAGGGAGTAGCTTGCTGCACATGCAGTGCTGCTGCCTGGATGCCAGGTGGCTGTGGCAGGCTGTGGAGCCCCAGCAGCCAGAGCAGCTTGCTGCCCACTAGCCCTGTGTCCACCCTTGTGTCACTACTGCTTGGTCAGCATGTTGTGGTGACACTGGTTTGTAGAGGCTGACCTCAAAGGCGCATCTCCTCCACTGCCTGAGCCCAGCCTGCCCTAGGTCTGTGCTGCTGGTGCATTAAACCAGCATAAATCTGAGCACTTCCTTTGCCCAGATGATTGGGTTTAGAGCATTTTGGTCATGCCAAAAGAATGAGAGGGGAAAAAAAAAAGTAGTCTTTGAAGTTCAACTAATCTTGAGGAAAAAGTGGGTGCTCAGTTCAGCTTTAACAGGTTGTGCAAAATCTGTGCTTGTTTCAGAAGGCTCGCTAAGGCTCGTTGCTTTAAATCCTTTGATCATCTCCTCAGTGGTTTGTTCATTTGCATTGTATTTCCCTAATGGGAGCTAGAGCTGTGACTCCAGAGTCACCTGGAAGTGTTGTAGCAAGACGGGGAAGTATCCCAGGGGGACTCTCACTGAGGCACCGATTCTTGGAAACGTTTGTGAATTTCTTTGTTCCTTGAAGTGCAACTGAAGTTTTCTCCTTGAACAAGCACAGGTGTCCCGATGGGCTGTGCAGTCACCTTCAATACATCTCAGCTGCTTTGGTGATCACACAAACACTTTTAGAGTAGGGACCCAAGCGCTGTTTGCACAGGACTCTGGAGCTGAGGCTTTTTTCTTTAAAAAAAACCCATTCTCAGAGCTTGTCTCTCCCTGCTGTTGGTCAGGCAGACAGTGGGACATAGTTGCCGTTTGGGGGGCATGAATTTTTTAAACTTTATGTGGAAAGAAAGTTCCCAGAACATTTTTCCACAGCACTGGTCTTCACTTGTTCTCCTGGCCGGACTGGCAGTAACTGGGCTCCGCTTGGAGCCCTAGCTGGAGACATCCTTAAAGATTATGGGTCCCCTGATCCCACAGAGGCTGTTCCCTCTGGCTCAGGGCTGGGATAGGTTGCTGTGTAATTTTGGAAAGACTTGTTTCTCCTGCAGTATGTGCTGTGCCTGTTGTAGGGATGTGTGCTAAAAGCTGTACAGAGCTTCAAGTCCCTTTCTGGCTCTGCTCAGTAGTTATCCCAGTCCCCTGCAAGGTAAATCGTAATAATCGGGCCTGGTTTAGACAGACATAGAGCAGCTGTGATTTGACCAGGTCCCTGCTTTAACCACTTGCACATACTCCTCTCTGGGAGAAATGACAGCAGGGAATTCTTGGTCCTCAGCCTGTGCAGAAGGGTCCCCCAAAAAAGCTCCATATTCTGCTTTAGTGCCTAGAGCTGCTCATCCCAACAGGACCAAAGGTTTTAAAATAGCGGTTGATACCAGCCACCCAGGAGAGGGGGAAAATCGCACAATTTTGTATCTCCTGAGACCTTTGTGTATCATACCTAGCACTGTCTGGCTCTTCCCCTCTGTGGCTTAAGAGGTGGCTCTTTCACCCTGCCGTGGGAGCAGCCACCCTTGGCAGTGGGCATAAGGGGCTGGAATGCTGCTTGTTTCCCTCTTTACCTCTTCTTTCCTCTCTGCAGCTCCTGCTCAGGCCCAGATCATCCATGCTGGGCAGGCGTGCGTGGTGAAGGAAGACAACATCAGTGAACGTGTTTACACAATTCGTGAGGGGGACACGCTGGTCCTGCAGTGTCTGGTCACGGGACACCCCCGGCCACAGGTAAGCTTTCAGTCTTGCCTGTCACCCATGCTCCCCATGGCACTTCTTTGTAGTCTCCACATAAAGGACAATTGTGGGCAGCAGGGTGCCCAGCTTTCTCCTACATGTTGGAGTCAGGTAGGGATGTCCCATAGCACAAGCACTAGCTTGTTAGGGTATGAAGCATCTAGCCTACTTTCATGGAAAACAGTCCACAAAGCTTTGCAGAAGCCTACACAGACCTTCTAGTGGTCTTCAGAATGTGAAGTCCTCCAAAAAACTGAAAGCCCAAATTGAACCCCTGATACAAACCACCCTCAAATCTTTAACCCTCTTACTACAAAGCAGGAACAGCCTGAAACAGGCTAGAGGAGGCTTCCCACATATGCTGGCCATAGGAGTTAGTCCTTCATGGTCCATCAGTCTCTCGGCATCTCTGGATGTACAGACAAGGGGAACCTGCTTGGGGGAGTTTGGGAAGTTGTTTGTAGTACACTTCACTGAGCCCTGTGCAGAGCCCACTGGTCATTGTTTTATGGCCACTGACCAGAGTCAGATTCAGACTTGTAGCGCTGGATATATCCATGCTGTGGTCAAAGTCACAGTTCAGTGGAGAGGTATGGAGCTGAGCTTGGCTAACTGCTGCAGTGCTTCCCCAGAGTGCCTAGAAGGATGCGTAGTCTCAAGCCCTATGCAGCCACCTCCCCACTCTTCAGATACTCAAGCAGGCTGGTTCAGTGTTAGTGTGGATGTGTCTATACAGATACTGGACCAGAGCATGGGTCTGCCCACTCCAGGACAGGGCATGGTAGGAGTGGCAGCTGGTGTGTACTACAAGTCTGGATGCGCCAGAATACACTCAAGGGAGCCAAGTACGATATGTTAGCCTTCTTGGCTCCCTTCCTCAATCTTGCCAAAGATATTTGTGCTGAGAAGCCATATGTCTGCATACAGCAATCAACACCTCTGTGGACTTGCTTGTGAGGAGCTACTCGGCTAAGAGGTGATGACAAAAGAGAGGCAGAGAGACTCAGCCAGCAGGATTTGAAATGGTTCATCTATCAAAGCGTATCCTGGAAACAATAAAAAGGAAATTATCTGAGCCAGGCCAGAAAAAATGACCAGCCTAGGCTTGTGACAGTGATGGGCAGATGATAGCTGTGTATGTCAGAAACGAGGAAGATGGTAGGGCTGGCCCTGCCTAAGGATGTTGAATGCGTGGGAACGTTCTGGCAGATTGTGAGGATTTGAGCCTGAGTAGCCAGAGAGATTGCTGGAGCAGAGCCTGATGCAGACAGCATACTAGTGGGCAACATTGTGGCTTGTCATTGCCTGGACATGCACAGGGGACACCAGAGCATGGAACCAGGCATGACCGGGGAGGCTGGAACCCATGCACATAAAACATGGCATGCGTCTTATCTCTGCCCTCCCTCCTCACGGATAGATTTCTTCCCCAGCTAAGCTCTTAGCCTAACCTTTGTTTAGTCGTTTCTTTTCCTTTCTATCAGTCAGTCATTAAAGCATGAAAATATGGCCAAAATACTTAAATGAGATCAAAATTGAAAAGATTACAGAGCTGGCTGAAGTATCCTTGCAAACAGGAGACTCTGAGAGTCTTGGGGCCCTCAGACAGTTTCATAATAAGCCTACAAAGGCTAAATAAATTCATGGTCATTAGCTCCAAAATCTGCTTAGTCTAGTGCTCTGGGAGTCGGATGTAGACACCCCTGCTCTTTCTAGAGTATCAGCATCAATCAAGTAGTGGCAGTGAGCCTTAGGCAAAGTCAGAGGGAGGAGTCAAGGTATCTGGTCCATCTCGTCTGTGGCCAATGCCAAATGAAAGTCTGTTTCCTTTCTGTTGGCTGATCTCAGTCCCAGAGTCTAGATGGGCACCAGTGTAGACCACCAGTCAGCAAAGTTTAGAAGGGAGGTTGCAGATATAGCAAACCAATGGGCTGAGAAAAAACATCTCTCTCATTTGCCGGACTGCAGAAAACAAGGAGGAAGCTTGTGTCACCACTGCTAGTGCTGCACCTCATTCCAGACATAAGAATAACTATTCAATCTTCAGGAGTGCTGCCCTCTTGCCACCATCCACCATGAAACATCATGCAGCTCTGTTGCCCCCATGAGCCAGGATCTTAAGACATGTAACATAAGGACAAAAAATGCAAGATAGCTTGAAATCTGAAGGGATTTTTTCCTTTTCTTTCCTGTATCTTTAAAATCAAAGCAAAAGCTTGTGTACTGCAAAAGGATGACTTATAAAAATAACATACACAGAGGTTCCCTGTAGGAAAGGGGCAAAAGCCAGATAGCAACTGCATTTTCTCACTCTTACTTGGAAAAGCAAACAGCAGAAATAGCCTTGCTGTCCAGAGAAAGATGAAAGAGTGTTGACTGCAATAAAAGCTCTGTAGCTGTGAGCTGATGTCTGCTGTAGCTTTGTGGCCTACCAGCCACCTGGGGTCCCAAAGCTTAATGCTGGAAGTCTTGTGCTGTGCAGATAGTGGTATAAAACTAACCAAGTTCCTGGGTTTACAGGGCCAGAGCAGGAGTGGTAAATATGCAGTGTGTGTTTCTGGGTGAACTGAGGGGTTATCCTGGACACTCGGATGTGGAAATTGGTGATGGATGAGAATCAGCAACTGGTCTGCTGAGACATAGTCAGATCAGCAGTTGAACTTTGGTAAGGTCTGGTGGTGTCGTAGGGCCCATTTTTGAGAATGGTTGGGGGAAGAGGAGCAAAGGAAGTGCTGCTGTCCCCTGAGATGTCTAGTTTGTGTCACTGATTGCCTGCATTTCTCTCATTCTTCTCGTTCAGGTGAGATGGACCAAAACCGCTGGCAGCGCATCGGACAAATTCCAAGAGACGTCAGTGCTTAACGAGACCCTTCGGATTGAGAAGATCCAAAGGCTGCAGGGGGGCCGCTATTACTGTAAAGCAGAAAATGGGGTTGGGGTCCCTGCCATCAAGTCCATTCGAGTAGATGTGCAGTGTAAGTCGTTTAGCGGCAACCCAAACCTTCCCACAGTTCTACTGTATGTCTCTGCTTCGCTGCAGGGCCAGCAGGGAGCTGCATTGCCCTAGGACCACGCGCACCTGATTCAGGAGCAAAGGGACTGCTGTGGTGTCTCCCTAGGAGATTAGAACCATCCACAAAAAAGATAGCTCTACCTGTCCATATGAGTCATTCCTATCTAGGTGCTGTGATGTCTCACTTCCAGAGGTCCCTAGCACTTGTCTGGGATGTAGCATTGTAGATGGCTTCTGCTTTCTTTGTCTTCATTTTGAAGCTGGTAGTGCTTGAAGCAAACCAATGCTTTTTGAAACTGGTAGTGCCTCAGATGCTTGGGGCATTTCTGAAACCAGTGCCCTGCTCCCAGCATTGCTACCTCTGCAGCATGGTGGAAACAGAGCAAAAGACTGTGAGATGCCCCTGAGGAGGCTGAGCTGTGAAGGGGTGAACATGAAGGAATCTGTGAGGACCCCTTAGTTTTAGTGATTCAGCATTTCTCTGGCTGGTTGCAATGTCCATCCTTCTTGTGTTCTGGAGATGCTGTTAGTGGTTCTCCACCCTGGGCCCCAATTTTTGAAGGTTTCTCATGTTGGCTTAATGTTGTTTATTCTTGGGCTGCTGTGGCCAAAAGGGAGGGAAATTAAACTTATCCAATAATCCCCATATGGGAAGAATCCAAGATTTAAGGTCTAGGCAACTTCTGAAGAGATTTGCTTTCTTGGGGAAGATTACCATTCTGCTCATTGTCCTTGGTTATCCACTACTCCAGTTTTTTTCAACCCAAGTAACACCAAATCCCTATTCTCACTCATGTCTTCTGAGAAGGCCTATCCAGCAAGAGGTTGATGCTAAGATGTAAAGTGTGATAAAGCAGCTGGAACTCTCCCCGAACTTGTCACCACCTGTTCCCACTCTCCTAGCAAGACAGTCTTCTGTACTGAGGTGCTCTGTGGTTATCTGTCAGTGGAGCAACCTCCAGGCTTCAAAACCCCAGTACCTGTCTGGAGTTTGGGCAGAGCTTTGCTGACAGCAACTGCTGCCTGACTGCTTCCTCTTAGTCCTATTGTCCAGCCCTACAATGATACAACCCTCACGAAGTATGCTATAGACTTGAACGTCCTTAGGCTTTGGTAGGTTCGTGATCCGCAGTTGTATTATATGGCTTGGAGCAGCTCCCATCTCTGTTCCTTCCTTGCCCTACCCTGTATTGGAGTACTGTAGTGTGAGCACCATCCTACAGGCTGGGAAAATAGATTACTTCATCAGCAGCCACTTTGGATAGGATGAGCATTTCTTCATGGGCATTGCATAGCTTTGTTTGGAGGAGTTCTGACACCCACCTAGATCTGCTTGGCTTCTCTGCCTGTTTCTTCTCCTACATGTGGTGGAGGCGTATGATCACTCTCCATTGCAAAGGGGACTTGCTTTTCTCAAACCTCAGTATGACACCTTGCCAGGGTCTGTGTCTCTAAGAACAGGACTGTGGCATGAATCTCTTTATGCCCTGAATGTGCTCCCTTTACTTCTGGCGTGCAGGCTGGAGCTAGAGTGATGTAGTGTCCCATGGTCCCTCGTGCAGCTCTGACCTGTAGAACTATGGGGCTAATGGGGTGGCCAAGGGCTTTCTCATACTAACATCTACTCTGCAGATGGACTTGGTAACGCACCTCTGTTCTGCTCACTTGGTTTTTGGGGAGGAGAGACTATTTTCTGCTAGTATTTGCAGTAGGTACAAGGGAACACATAGGAAAAGCCACAGTTTTTGTTGAACGCTCACCTGGGCAACCTTCAGCTGAATGAACCAGAATTTGAAAACAAACCCCTTCTTTCCCCGCATCCCAATTTGTAGTTGGAGGTAAGTAATCATCCTCATGTGAACCTTGGTGTCCTTGACAGCTAGCGCTAGTCCTTACTCATACTTTTAGCATTAGACAGCAAGGTTGTGTGGAGAGCACCACTGGTGCCAAGAGGATATTAAACCGGAAACACTAACCTGTGTAGCAAGTTACTCCTTTGCCCCAAGTGGGCATCGAGTGAGGCTTTAAAGTATTGGTTAGATGCTTGCAGAGAGGCAGCTGCTGTTTGGAGTATTTCCATGTGGGAGAGAGGGAAAGTAAAGAAAGAGAGAGAAAAGATGTTTACAAGCTTATATTGTGCATGAAACATCCCATGTGATCATCTCCATGAGCAGCCTTGGGCCAAATTTATCATTTGTGGAGCTCACTGACATCAGTGACGTTACTTGTACATCAAGGACATACTTATCATTGTAGGTCTTATTTTAGCTTTTCTCAGGAGGGCTAGACTTAGGGCTAGACTTAGAGCTGACTGCTACAAAAGAAGGCTGAAAGATTCAAGGGAGGAAATGTTTAGCAACTGAAAGGAAGATGTTGTTTTCTGTGTGGGGAGTAGCTGGGAGCCAGGAGACCTGAACGGTGAGTATCTTCTTTGGTCAGTAAGGGAAGTGTTTTGCCATGCATCCTGCTGAGAAATGGAGCCTCAGAAGGATGGTAGCTACAGAGTTACTCATGTAAAGTGTGAACAAATAAAGGAGGGTTAAGGACAAAGAATGGGGAAAGAGGAGAGGCTGTGCCCAAGGTCCTGGTCCGAGAGAATTTGGTGTAAAATTCAGTCACCCTATGGCTACATGGAGAGCAGCCTTTTTTCTCCACCTGTGTTTTTGTTCAGTCTTGGGTGGGTTGGGATTTTTTTTTTTTTGTGCCTTGTCATTGTTCTGCTAATGGCTCTACTCATATCTCTGAGCTGTGGTGTGGTCAAGCTGGAAATCTCAGGTACCATTACAGTTGCTGTCTACCAAGCATACAGCTTATTAAAATATGCAAATCCACAAGCTGACACTTGTGATTCAGCAGAGAACATGCGTTATTTGGATGACACATTAGCCGAAACACATCCATACTTCCCCCTTCCTTTCTGGGAGTCAGATTTCCAAACCTACAAATCTCTAAAATAAAATATCCCAGTTTCCTGGGATCCTTCTGACCTCTCACTGAAGTAGAGAGCAGTAATTTGGGGTGTGGGATGTCACTGGGGAAGGTGAAGCAGGGCACTGGTCTGAGAGGAATGTGGCAGGCAGGCAGTTTGCTCAAGGACCATGTAGGATCTGCAAACCAGAGGGTGCTTTCTATTCTCTGAATGTTGTGCGGTGAGCAGGAGAATTTTGGCTTCTTCTGTCTGTTCCCTTTAGATATTGTTTGTGTTACCTGCCCTCAGATCAGCTCTTAATTCAGCAGTTCTCATCAGCCAAATATATGGGAGCTTCCCCTCTCCTCTATGGTGCCTGGAGCATCATCTGCTCTGCAGGCTGTACATGCAGACCAAGCTTCACTAACAACTCCTGCGGCACTCCCTACCTTCCTTCCAGATCTAGATGAACCTGTTCTCACCGTTCACCAGACCATCAGCGATGTACGTGGCAGCTTCTACCAGGAGAAGACTGTCTTCCTCCGCTGTACTGTTAACTCCAACCCACCAGCTCGCTTCATCTGGAAACGGGGAGCTGAGACGCTTTCCCACAGTCAGGACAATGGTGTGGACATCTATGAACCCCTCTATACACAGGTGAAAAAAACCAAACCTCCACCAGCTTGTGTTGAGCTTCTTACTGATGCAGGGCACTCTGTACTGGATAGCGTTTCTTTTCCTGTGTGTTTTGCGATGCTGGGGAGAGGGTGGTGGCCACTGCAAGGAGCACTGTTTCCAAAAGGGCTGGTAGAACCTACTTCTGTAGGTGGGTTCCCAAGGGACAAGAGGAGCAGAGCAGCAGGAGGGAATATGACAGCCTAGAATTCCCTTCCCCTTTTTGGCACTGTCCCTGAGAGGGTCACAGCTCCCTTAATGAGGTTACGTGGCTGTTGGATGGCTGTGACTAAAATCCAAGTAAACAATCCCAAGATTTGGTCTCCTCTATCTCCCATTACTTTTTGGGGTTTTTTTTCTTAATTGAGTGCCCAAGCTCCATAAATCAGGGGAATTGCTTCCTGTTTAGCAGTGTGAGTGAACAGCATTTTTTATGAGGCAAATGATGAAGAGCTTTTCCTAATGTCCGTAAATAACAGAGGCAGCCCAACTGCTTGGGCACTTTCTGACTGTCATCCTGTGACAGGGTATCCACATTCTTCCTGCTTCTCCTGCTTGCCTATGCTGGATTTGCCCTCTGAACACCACTTTCTTCACAGTAATTAGCCTGCCAATGCAGTGGGAGACGGAGGGGAATTTTTCTTTCGCCAAGGCACTCTGGGCATGTTATCCTAAGCTGAGCTCTGGCTTTGAAAGTCCTTCAGATGCTAACCAGCCCCAGCACTTCCAGCGAGGCCATTTGGCAGCACGAGGCAGTGATGGGTGGGAAGGAAGGGCTGGAAGGGCAGCTCTCCAGGGCACCCATTTCATCCCACGCACCTCCTCGTGCTCCCAAAGCTGGGCCCTGAACGCATTCTGGCTGAGTTTGATTTCTGAGCAATGCTCCAGGCAACCTTTCAGTTAATGTAGTCATGTTCATATTTTATTGAAACACGCCATCTCTGTAGGCCATGGAAATGGGCAGTCAAATGGAAACATTCAGGGGGATGAGGAGAGAGAAGGGAACTGCAGGTTAGCGGCGGATTTGTGGAAATGCTGTAGGTCAGCACTACTGTTGGGCCCTGAAGAAAGCTTTGTCTAGTCCAGTGTTATGAGGCATCCAACCAGGACATCCCTGGCCTTAGAGAAAGCCACCATGGGCTCTTCCAGCTTTCACTAAGCTCAATGTAATTAACAGGAGACATTGCTTAATGAGAGGATGTCTTAGGACTTGAGATATTTTCTTCAGCTAAATAAGGGATCTGGCAGAATTTCACCATTTTGCAGCATTAACATGTAAATGACCCAGCATCCTGCAGCTCCTGTCAGGCAGCGTTCCCACCATGATGGGGCATTCCCAGCTCTGAGAGAGGGTGTTAGGACTGCTGTGCTCACACAGGTGTGCCCTTACAGTCGTCTTAGCACCAGCATAAACCTGTGAGTCTGGGTTGGTAAGAGTTGAAGTTAACAAAAACACACCTCTGCAGCACTATTGGGAGGGGGAAATCTGGCTGGAGCTCAAATGCCCTATGTTTCAAAGCGCCCTTCACAGGGGGTTGTGATATTGTCTTAGAGATGAACTGGTATCAGTGTCAGGTTTGGGTAGGCTTTTACATTAAAAAGGAGTTGAAGACTTTACTGTTTAAACTTTTAAAAACTTATTTACACTGAAGGTTTATACACATTTACTAATCAATAAACAGGATATATATGACACTAAGTAAGTAGTTGACATGCACATTATAAATGCCATCATTTGTGTGGCATAGCAACAAATCTCAGGGGACGGGACTTTCATAGGGTTATTGGTCTCCTAGGTATTTATCTTTCTAATTTACTCAGTTCAGATCCTTGTTCTCTGCATATTAGCATGCCTGAGCTCATCGTCCGGTCCCTTGAGGTTGTCCTCGAGAGGATTTGTCGTGCTGACACCTTCTCACATTTGCAGGCAATTATGGAATGGTTTCTCCAAAAGAGATTTAGACAAAGACAAGGAGAACAACAGTGACAAGCGGTCATGGGAAGACATATGAGTTGCAGGGTGTACAAACCACAGGATGCGTCTCAGAGCTTTCCACATTCCATAAATAAAAATCTACATAAGGCATCTATTGTTAATTTAACAACTTGATTCTGTTTCTATAACAGGCCAGTAACTAATGGAGTGCCAGGGAGTGATTTTGTTTGTTTGTTGCCCTAGTATGAGAAAAGGCTATCAAAGTCCATCAGTCACTCTGGGTTTACACCAGCATAAATGAGATTAGAATCTCGAGAAGGGAGATCAGAAAGTTTTGGGGTGTTCTTTGAGTATTTCTCTGAATTATCTTTTTCCCCCTCTACTGCAGATTTTTACAGCCTAACTGTTGAACTTGTCATATTTAGGCCAGCATTAATGCCTGAATCTGCTCTGATTTACTTTGGTTTTGGAATGTTGAGACCCCAGTGATGTCCCTTGGGTTCCTACCAACATCTTGGTGTGAGATCTCAGGGTCTGTTCTGGGACATTTAAGGTTTTTCAAGTTCTGCAAGATGATTCTGATGGCAGTTGAGAAATTGTGCCTAGACCTGTTCAGCAGTGCTTTCAGGTTAAATGTCAGTCAGTTGCTGGGTGTTTTGAGAAATTCTGGAGGTAGAGTTACCACTGCAAACATTTTGTGTCTCCTTTATATATAGCTAGGGGGCCTTGGAGTCTGCACAGTTCCCTGAAGTGTTGATGGGAACTACTGGTAATCTTTAAACTTTGGGACAGGTTATGTACTTGCAATGGTGAGCTGTGCTTTGTACACTTGTGTGTTCTTTCCCCCCTTTTTTCCCAACTCCCAGGGTGAAACCAAAGTCCTGAAGCTGAAGAACCTGCGGCCCCAGGATTATGCCAGCTACACGTGCCAGGTGTCCGTCCGTAACGTCTGCAGCATCCCTGACAAATCCATCACCTTCCAGCTCACAAACACCACAGGTAAGAGGGGATGCAGAGGGTCCCCGCAGCCCTCCAACCCCTTGCCTGCTCAACAGCTATTACCACTCCAGAAGGGTAACACAGCACCCTGTCCAGGGCCTGCAGCACCTCGCGTTCATGTACATGGCTGCTAGGATTACAAATCCTTCACACAGATGTTTTATGGCCAGGGATACTCTAATTTCTTGGAGCTCTGCGTGTAGCTGGTGCCTTGGCCAGGCCTGCTGTGAGATCATTAAAACAGACTATGTGTAGGTGTTGAGGCACTATGTAGTTTTTAATCCAGACATTGGTTTATTTATTTATAATTCTAAGTGACTTTAAAAATAGATGCCATACAGTCTAGAGCAGGGCAGATGCTGCAGGAGTTCTTACAAATAATTTATTTGTGTGTGACTCTGGCCTGGTTTACCAGGCTGCACTCTCAGCACCTGCCAGCTAACGGGCTCCGCTGGTGCCAATGTTTGTGGAAAGCAAATATCTCCAGTGCCTTCCCAATAAATAAATTTTACACTGATGTTGATACTGGCAGTGCTTGAGGGCACCTCCAGTTGTGAACAGAATCAGGCTGATGCCTCTTGCTTGACCTGCAATACTGACTGATAACTGAGTATCATGTACCAAATACTTGAAAGGACCTGATTGCAACCTGTCCATTAAAAAAAAAAAAAAACCCAACACAAAACACACCCACCAAAAAAACACACCCACAAACCCCCCACATGTGTTGAATAGTTTCAAATAATAAGTAAATGTCAGGAAATTGCTTCCAGCCCTGGGTATTCCATGATCAGAAAGAAAGGCATTGTAGTTGTTTGAATTATTCACCTCTCTAATGTAACACAAAGCAGTTTGCATCCCTTGTGTCATTTTTGTGCAGTGGAAACAGAACTCTTTTGATGTTGCCAAACTGTTGATGGGATATTGTTGATACTGCATAAATTATGTTTATTGATCTGACTTTAGCCCAAGGTGCTGAACAATAGTTGCATCATTTTATGTAAGAAGAAAAATAATGAGTTTAAGAAAGTGAACTATAGCTAATGTCAGAAAAATATATTCTCTATGTAGTAAGATCTCAGAACATGTCTCAAGCAACTCGCACACTGAATTTCTCTCAGGATGAGACTGTAGCGAATGCTGGAATATTCCCTTTAAAAACTTATCTTGTGCTCATGATGAAGAAAGGGATCTCATACAGCTCTTCTTCCCTGTTGTGTCTTTACCTTTGAAGAGTTAGAAAATCAAATTTCTCTTCATGTCCACTCCCCGCTGCCAGCCCAAGCACAGGGAAACTATCCTTCCTTTCAGTCCAGCCCCTTTACTGAGTGAATAGGAAAAATGTATTTTCAGGCTACAGCCAAATCAGAAGCCAGTGATATGGCTGAATTTACACCAGCTTCTTAGGTACTTACCTAAGCTCTGAACCTGGACCATGTAGCACATACATCTAGTTCTTTTTTCCTATTGTTTATTTATAGATGCATATTTATACATAGTTACAGTGGAGCCTGACACTACAAGCTCAAGGGGGCCACGGAAAATGTGTTCCTAGCAAATTGCATTAAAAGCTGGCAGTGAAAATGAAGCTGACATTGTGGTGTGAGCAGGGTTTGTGTTAAATAACACAAGTATATTTAACGTGAAATATTATCTGACTTACTTGCCCTGTAGGTAGTATTGTGCATAGATGAGAAAATATTTAAAGAAAAATCTTTAATTCTCTCCTTTTTTGCATAGGTCTTTTCCTTCTCTCTTGCACTTGTGTTCTAGCAGCCTCCATAGCCTTGGCTGCACGCAGAATCCTGAGCAACTTCATTCAGGATGCCTTCACCTTTGCAACTGAAGAGGCCCCAAAGGGTGCCGAGGTGCATGGAAATTGATCTCTTAAATATTTATAGACCTAAGTAGCATGGACCTAGAGGAGAATTGGTGGGTCGGGTCATGTCAGGCCAAGGGAATCTTCTCTTCCGAGTTCAATTGCTGTTCCTCAGCTGGCTCGCTTTGGCTCCTCTGGAAGTGGCCTTTGGGCAGATCATAGTCTCTGGCAATGAGATGTGCTTCTCCCGAGCTCTTTGCAGCTTGGCCCTTGCAGCAGGGGATGGGTTCTTGGTCTGCAACCTTAATGGCAAGGAGGTTTCCTCTGCTCCTCCTCTATCCTGCTGCTGTTGCGTGGCTCTAGAGCAGCAGGTTGGGTCCGCAGAGCCACAGGACCAGCTCAGCACTGGGCTGTTGTCACCTGCTCCAGCAGGGTCAGGCTGATGTTTTCCTCTTCCTCGATTCCTGCAAAATTAAGCAGCCCAGCTGGTTAATTCTCCTGCAGTTTTACTGCAGCAAATTGGACTTCAAAGGGAATTGAAAGCGACTCTTTGTTTTTAATGGTCCCCTTGCTGCTCTGCAGACTCCGCCAGCAGGTTTTCTGAGCCAAGAACAAAAGGAATTGCCACAGGTTACAAATAAATGAGATTCATCTCCTGCATAACAATGTCTGCAGACTGTTAACCTCTGTCTGCTGACAGGAGTGGGAGTGGGAGCCCGTGCAGGCTGCCACAGCCAGGGCTGTGTTTTGGGGCACATCATGGGAGCTTGTTGCCTGGAGCTGTGCGGGTGGCAGCTTTGCAGTTTCCCTGCCTCCCTTTTGCATGCACACACAACCTACCCTGAGGCAGTGCTTCCACCAGCTTGTTACTTTTTTTCCCACGTTGCCTTGCCCAGAACATGCCACTGCTGGGCAAGATGAGTGTTGTTCAGATAAGTGCACATCAAACACTGCAAGATCCCTAACTCTTAACCAGAGCCTGCAGGACCCAGCTGTTTGGGCACCCCAACTCCGACATCTGCTCTCTGGACCTAGGCTGGTCTCAGCCTTTCTCTGGCTCTGATGGGGATAGGTAGAGATTCGCAGGTAAGATGCTGCATCTGTCAGCTTGTCTGTGTCCTGTGAACCTGAGACCCGTTCAATGTCAGAGGGCAGGAACAGCTATTTGGTATCAACTACGCTCATCTGACAGCCTGCTAGTGACAGACATGTGTCCTGCCTGACCACGGTGAGTTGAGCTATTGCGTTCCTGGGCTTCACAGAGTCTCACAACACCACCTGGAACTTGGAGAAGACATACAAATCCTTCCTTGGCCGATGAGTGCGCATTAAACCTTGCACACTCTTTCCAAGACTCCAGGAAAGAGACCTGTCAAAGGTTCTGAGTGCAGGCTGTGGCCTCCTGAAATTCAAGGACTCCAACCACTGGCCTCAAAATGACCAGTGCAGGTGGCAGAGGACCCACCTTCTTCCTTAGGCACAGCTGGACACCTCTGGCACAAATAGCATGTGCCGTGGCCAGGGAGACGACATTTGATTCAGCGCACCAAAGCAATATCCCAGCATGGCAGTAGTTGCCCTGCTAAATTATGGCACCGGTGCTGAGGAGAGAGCAGTTCTCCTCGCCTTGTTTGTATGGGCTGTAAGTCAGAGATCCAACACAAATCCAGCACAGCTCATTAACGCAGAGTCCAGGGAGAGAAGAGGCAGAAATAATGATGCTGTTAAATCAGGCTTCATGAATATGGAACAATGTCTTATTTTGCATTATTATGGCTGTTACTTAAAACATACTCCCTGCCTTTGTGCTGGGGACCGCTACTTTCTCAGCTCTGTCTGGATGGAGCCAGTGATGGTGCTGACAAGGGCTTTTAAAAGGCTTTTCATGGGATGAAATAGAGAATACAAAGGGAGGTTTTTTTGGATCAGTTCCTGGAGGGGGCTGTAGTGAGAAGGGTGCAGAAATAAAATAAACGAAAACAGGTACTAGGGTATTCAAAGGAGAGGTTGTCTAGACATTTTGGATCAGTCCCAGTTGTTCAGTTGCACATGAAAGACAATCCCTGTGACCTGGTCTATAGCCCCCAGGTCTATAGAGAAGTGTATTTGACACCTGTGGAGGTAAAGGAGGTTAACAGCGGGTGCAGAGCTGCTGTTCATGGTCTGTTATGGTGCAGACAGGTCTTGGTCCTCTGTGTCGGGCTCTGAGCTGCAAGGACCAGCTGCCTGGCAAAGGCTTTGCCTCTCAAGGACATGTAGTTGAGTGTGAGATGGAGAGGTGTATAATGGGATAGCTGAGGTCTTTTTTTTAATTGTAGACCTTCCCCAAAACTCCTTCTTGGGTTGGCAACTCTGTATGGGATTAGTGGTTTAATCCCAACTGTCCTCGAACACAAACAGCTGTTGGGTTCAAGCAGGCTCCTCTGAGTCTGTCCTTTCTCCTTCACCTCTCCATGAGGGTGGAGTTCTGATGGTCAGGCAGAAGGAGCAGGCTGTGACTGGGCATTCACCTGGTGCTCTGCCTGACCTTCCCTTGGGATTGTCAGAACCATCCAGCAAACACTGACATCCCAGTGAGTTTCCCGGCATGCTTTGGATCAGGTCCTGAGATGTTAAGCTCAATCCATGGTTGCAACTTCCCATGCCTTATGACAATGCATCTCTTGTTCTTCTGCCTTTTTTCTTCTGTCTGTCTGTCTTTCTGTCTATCTTTTTCTCAGGGCTCAGTCCAGTGTGCTGTTTCTGTCCAAGGCATAAGCAGACTAACTGTGATTCATACAATAGTGTTGCAGCAATGGAGATACAGATGCTCTAGTAGGAACTACCAGTTGAGCCTTTTCTCCAGTGATGCTTCTGCAGGGCCTGTCTAGAGTCAGAGGAGTTACATACAGGGAGAACAGAATGCACTGTTGTGTCTGCAGGGGAGTGGGCTGGGTGCAGTGCACGTAAGTAATGCAGAGCCGCAGCAGGTTTCCATTGCACTTCTGCCTTGCTGCTGCTGTTTGCATCAGGAGTCAAGAAGCCTCTAACCTTGGGTTTTCCACTGCTGAATTTTGTCTGGTTGCCACTCCTGCCTGTGCAAAGGGGGTTCATCAGGCTTTTCTTCTGACCTGATTCCGAAGCCTAGAGAACATGCTAAACACTGCTAAAATGTCATACTTAGCTTGTGCCCCAATCCTAAACACTAGCGGTGGAGTGTTTTAGGTATGAACTCCATTCTGGGGCAGTGTGAGGTCCTGCCTGCAGTGTTTCCTAACCATAACAGAGCAGGGTGCTCTAACTGAAAGGCATGGTAATGATAATGCTTTTGGTTCACAAACACCTTGTATTTGTAATGAATTCATGGATCCCTCCAGCTCTCCCTACTAAAACCAGCCATCTTCAAGAGCAAATCCAAGAAAGTATGAAACTGTTCACAGGCAAGTGGGTGAGTCTCTTTCAAGCTCTGAAGTGTTCCTCTTTGTACTCTTCCAGCCCCACCTGCACTGAAGCTGTCTGTCAATGAGACACTGGTGGTCAACCCTGGTGACAACATCACTATGCAGTGCTCTCTGACGGGCGGTGACCCACAGCCAGAGGTGGTTTGGTCTCACTCTCCTGGCCCAATGCCTCCCAACAGCCTTGTGCAAGGAGGCAACCTCACTATCTGGAGGATCCGCGTGGAGGACTCTGGCTACTACAATTGCACTGCCATCAACAACGTGGGGAACCCAGCAAAGAAGACAGTGAACCTGCTGGTGCGGTGTAAGTTGCTCTTTTTCTCAGAGCATGGGTTTTCAGGGGAGAGGGGCTAGATTTGCATTTCTCCTGGCTGTTCTTGTACAGCGGAGGGTGAATGTGATACTTAGCAGAGATTAGTATTCTGAAGAAGCCTCTGTGCAAGCTTCTTTGCTCCCAGAACGGCAGCTGTGCTAGCACTGCTTGCAGCCGCCTCATCCTGGGCTGTAGCACTGTCCTGAGCTAGGCAATGATTCCAGACTGCCAGATGTGAAGCCCTGGGGATCTGTTGTGGGAACATAACTGGGGAGGTCTTCAGGAAGGTTTTGCATGGAGATGTTGCTTCCTGAGGATCAAAGAACTGTTGTCCTATCTCATGCAAGACACTTTGCTGTCCCTAACCAGTTTTGCACTTGTGTTTGTCCCAGCCATGAGGAATGCCACGTTCCAAATCACCCCTGATGTGATCAAAGAGAGTGAGACCATCCAGTTAGGACAGGACTTGAAGCTCTCCTGCCATGTGGATGCTGTCCCCCAGGAGAAGGTTGTCTATTCCTGGTACAAGAACGGGAAACCAGCCAGGTTCTCAGACCGGTTGCTCATCACCAGGAATGACCCTGAGCTCCCACCTGTGACCTGCAGCTTGGAGATTATTGACCTGAGGTTCAGTGACTATGGCACCTACCTGTGTGTGGCTACCTTCCAGGGAGCACCCATTCCTGACCTCAGTGTGGAGGTGAACATCTCCTCAGAGACAGGTGAGCCTCTCTGTGGCAGCTGGGGACCCCAGGAGAGTGGCTGGCATCACTAGCTGCCCCCCCCACCCTTCTGGCTTTTTTTGAAGGACCTCAGATGAGTGGCTTGAATCCCAGTGGGAAAAAGTATCACATCCTCAGGCAAGCATTTGGCTGAGACTGGAGATGGGTAATAGTTACAGATCCTCTACCAGATGTGTTGTGCACCAAGCAGATCTTCCTTTATGATTTCTTCCAATGAAAAGTCCAAAGTGTAGTCCAGTCAAAGCTTCAGAGACAGGTTTAGAGTGTGATTTGTTCAAAGAAGCCTCCAAATTGTGAAGAAAAAAAGAGGGGGTGGTATTTCACCAAATTTCAAATTTCCCTTTGCTTAGAAGGGGATAAAAGAGAAAGCAAGCCGCTCTTTCCTCTCTTTGGCATTGCTTATGAGGAATGTCCCATTTTCAGAGCTGTGGCCAGGAGATTGGTATCATCTGTCATAGCAAATTGTGTGAAGAGCTTTAATGTTTACTGGATTGCAATTGCAATCTCTCTTGGGCACTCTCTGTAGAAGTCCAAGTATCATAAATGCCTCCCCCCTTTAAAATCAGGGTCAAAGCTTTGCCCCATGACTTGGTGAGGACAGGACTAATCCGTAAGTATGTTTGTCAGTCACTTTGGGGACTGAAATGCAGGGTCTCAGGGCTGCCTTTTTGCTTCTGGGGAAGTGCTGGGTCTAGCTCTGCTCTCCGTTACATCCATGTCATCTTGCTGCCTTTCCAGGACCTTGGGGGTGTGGCACAAAGCAGCATTGGGCTAGTAATCTGGTGAGGACTCTTGAGGGGGTCAGCTGCCCACAGATTTTGTCCTGAACCTTCATGGGAAGTTTCTTCTCAGTCCCTGGTTGTGCTGGATCCATTGGTCAAGCTGATCCCAGTCTTGATTCTGGACATTGCTTGCTTCAGCCCCCCAGCAGAAGGTGCTGTGACTGCTTTTGATGCTTTGGGAAGCCCTTGTCTCGCAGCAGAAAAGTTGGGGCCATCCTGTTCCCAATGGGACTGTGCCCAGTGCTCAATTAGCAGCCTGAAGACTGAGCCCTGACCGTGCCACGGACATACTAAACACCAAAGGATGGTGCTTCCCTTCTGCTGGCAGCCCTGGCAAGTAGGGCTCCCTCTGTGCCAGCAGACACCATCCCTGTTGTACCAGCAGGGAATAAAACCTGAGGAACTCCCCCAATCCTGGTGCAAAGCTGGCTTTCCCTGCCTTGTGTGGCTGCTGCTGCCAGGAGCATTCCTTTTTGCCCAAGATCACTAGATGGCAGAGTGCATTTGTGTTTAAGACTGCAAGGGTAGGAGGCAACGAAGGGCTGGGAGGCCCTGGATGACCCCCCAAAAAGGCTGGGCAGTGTCTGTTGGTGCAGGTGTTGGTCCAGGTGCCAGCCAGCCGCTGCCTCAAAGGAGGTAGGTGTCTGCGGTAGGCAGGTTGCCCTGTGCGCTGGCCTGGCTGGTGGAGGCTGAGCCCCACATGCTCATGTGGATGGTGCTGATGGGGAAGGACGGGACGGCAGCCTGGGGCGTTTTGATGCCTCTGTTTGGCATCATGGGCCAGGGGGACTGCTTTGGACCCAGGGAATGAAAATGGCTGTCCCCCCTGGAGCAGCCTTTCATGCAGCAGCTGAGGCTGTCCAGTATGCGGCATCCCCACAAACAGACGTGAGCAGCTTCCGACATGTGGTTCCTGCACAAAAACCCAGCGGGTTTTCCTCAGACCACAGGATCAGAGCAGGAAGGCGGTAGCAGTGGTTCCACGTTTCCCTGCTGAGCGAAGCCTGAGCTCGCCAAGGTGGCTGCCTCCACTGAGCAGCTCTGAGGAGATAGCTTTAATTAAAAAAAAAAATCTTCAAATGCAATTTACAGCTTTTCCCCATGGAGAAAATTGCCTCTCACCAGGTGAGCAGCTGCTCGCAGGGCTGGGCGCCGAGAGTGCTGTCGTCCCTTCGTGCTGTGCAGGACAGGGTGTGATGAGAATCCCCAGCCCACAGGAGACCTGCAAATTGAATATGTGGCCTCCCTCTTGCATAGGGAGGTCACTGCAGAGGGAGATTGGGCTGGAGCCATCCTAAATTTGCTCTTAAAGCACCTGTAGGCTGTAATGTGCAATTACTGTAGCACACTCCTTTCTGGAGTTGAATTGAGCTAACATTGGTCAGACTAGCTTGTTCTAAACTTTGATTTAAATAGAAATGAAGTACATGGCCCTTGCAGTTATGGAAGTGTCAATCCAAGTGTTGCCACTGTCAGCAGTAAGGGCTGAAAAAGGAGATTTCAGAAAATTATTATATCCCTATTTACCTCTGTTGAACTGTTAACTCTGAAGCCTAATACAAATAAAATGTCAATATTACATGGGGTCTAGGACAAACATCCCCTTCCTTGGTTCTTGGTGGAGCTGGGGACGTGAACAGCAAACCTCTTCCCACCGGCACCTCTCACCCTTTAGCTACAGTCATCAGGTTTCTTTTGAGCTTTGTTTATCAGCAAAGTTTTGTTTGTCAGTTGATAGCTGGGTATTTCTTGAGCATTACTGTGTCTCCAGCTCTAGGTCTGGCTCGACAGCAGTTCTGCTGGGTGAGCTGTTCCCAGCCTGGCCTGGAAGGGATGTCAGAAGTGACCTTTGTTGGGACCCATCTCTTGCTCGAATGACCCAGAGATAACTAGTGCACTGTGACTCTCAATGTAACATAAGCAAAGGCACTTAACAGAGCTGGCTCCTTGCTGTGGTTTAGGAGCAAACAGGGATCCTGGATGTCTGATGAGGCTGGACATATGATCTACAAGCACTAATGCTGTAAGTCTTAATTTCGGTCTGACCTGTATAAGGGAACTAGGTACCTTGGCAGAATAGGACTTCTATTTCTTAGCCAAAAGACTGCAGTTCCATTTGGGAAATTCACCAACCAGAAGTGGAGAAATGGATCAAAGAAGCTTTTGCCTTTAGGTTCCTCTGTGCTAGCCCTGCTGCTGGACAGCATTTTGCAACCAGAGGGGTGAGAGCTGGGAGGATGTCCCAATACAGGTAGTACTTGCTGTTGGCATTGGGATACATTGCTGGATCTTCCTTGATGCTCTGCAGCTCCAGACTCTACAGGATGACTTATACGGGCAGTGTGTTCCTATAGGGGTTGCACTGTGTCAAGTGGAAAACTTTGGAGTTCGCAGCTGTTGGTGTGACTCAAACACAAGCATCTCAAGAATATTCCTTGCTTGCTGGAAACTCGCTGTAAAATGATTCCCTTCTTGTCTCCCTTCTAGTGCCACCAACCATCAGCGTCCCTAAGGGTCAGTCCACAATCACTGTCCGGGAGGGCTCCCGGGCTGAGCTGCAGTGCGAGGTTCGAGGGAAGCCCAAGCCACCCGTCATCTGGTCCCGGGTAGATAAGGAAACCCCCATGCCTTCCGGGACAGTGACGATGGAGACATACGATGGGAAGCTGCGCCTCGAGAGTGTGAGCCGAGAAATGAGTGGGACCTATAAGTGTCAAACAGCCAGGTACAATGGCTTTAACATCAGACCCCGGGAAGCCCTGGTGCAGCTCAACGTGCAGTGTGAGTATAACCATACAGTACTGGAGCACCTGTCTGAATGCCTGTGTACACAAAAGCCAGTGGGCTAAGCTGGGTTGACACACTCAGTGCTGTTTTCAGGCAGAGCTGACCTTTCTTACTGGGCTGAGCAGACACATCTCTTTTGTCTGGGGACCTTTGAACAGTTTATATTTAGTTGGTGTGGCTACACAAGGCTAAGGGCAGGATACCGTATGGCCAGCATGTTGCAAGTGGAAGGGAGAGGTGTTGTGTGTGGTTGTATACAATGTTTTCCATTTCCCTATCAGTAGATGAGTGCAGAAACAGCAGCTTTACCAGGTGTGTGTTTGAGTGCATTACATATGTGTAAAATACCTTCAGGATATGTTAGTAAGTTTGTAAAGTGAAGTACTCAAAAGGTAGCAAATGAATGTTAATTAGGCCATTTCCACCCCACAACCTTTTCTTCAACTTAGTTACCCCAGCTGTCATTTCTGGACATGCCTGAACCATTTTGCCTGAAAAGCAGTGCTATGTAGACCCTAACAGGGACTGCATACTCCCAAATGGTTTCCACGCAATAAAACTGTGAGTAACAGAAAATTGATTCTTAGCATGTGGTGTATTGAGCGATTTCAGCGATGGGTGGTGCTCCCAGCCTCACTTGAAGGCGATTATCTGTGCACAAAGGTGAATGTAGTGGGAGGGATGCTGCTGGTGTCCACCTTGGGTGACTGTCTCCATCCTTTCCCTGCAGTGGTTTCTCCCTCCAGAGAAGTGAATGCCTGCTCAGCTCCCATGCTCCTGTGCTGTTGAGACACACGGGGGTCTGTACTCTCTCCTACAAGGCTTTGAATCAGACAGGGAGAAGGCAGCTGGGTAAAATGCCTTGGTATGGAAGGAGCCGTGACTGTAGGAGTCACCTGCAGATATCGTCCCATCAGGATAATGTGATTGCTGAACTCTCGCAGAGTCCTCTGAGCAGCACAGATCTGGCAGGCGTGGGATGGGTAGGGAGCAGGTTAATTTGCACCCAGGCATGCTGCTTCTGGGCTGTGACTGATGAGCCTCCACGCACAGCACAGCAGCACTCATTAGACATGCTGCCACACTCCTCCCAGGCTCGCTCCCCAGGAAGAACAGAAGTGAGACCGGGTAACCTGGCTGAAGCCAACCAGACACACTGCTCACAGATGTGAGCTGCTGGGAGCACAGCGGTAATGGAAGTGTGCAAAATCCTGCAGGCACTCCAAGTTATTCGAAGATCCCTTTTTAAAATTACCTCTGTCCATTCAGGAGCATGGCAGGAATTAAACTGCAGGAGGGGGACAGGGAAATTTCCATGCAGTGAAGTATGTGTGGAGAAGCTTCCCTTAAGCAGGGTGGAAATGTGCATCTTGGTTTAAGCTGTTTTGGAAGGCAGGCTGGGTCAGGTGTATGGGCCATGGCAGAACATGGCAGGGAGGGTGACCCTTGGTCACCCCAAGAACTGATGTGAGATGCAGCAAAATCTCACTCTGGAGCAAAGCACCATCAGACCTGCTGGTGTCCCCAGTTTGGTGTTGGTGTTTGAAAGCTGTGTGGTCCTCACTGACCCTCGCTGTCCCCGCAGAGAGAGCAGCAGTGCCAAGCCTGAGATGAATTCAGGCTTATTAGGTGGTCTGGAGGGGGGTCACAGCTCTGAATCTTGGGCTGGAGGAGGAGGACATGACTCCCCACACAAGAAAAATTGTAGGTACAAGCCAGAAGCTGTTCTGGGGCAGAGCCTTTGATGTGACCCCCAAGAAGGCAAAGATGTGATGAACTTCTGTGATGAACTTCTGTGTAAAGAGCAACTCAGTATGCTCTTCCCAAGGCCAAGCAATGCTTTATTGTGATCTTGCCCAAGTAATGGTGACCTGGTCAATGCGGCAGCCCACCCAAACAGTCCTCTTCCCTTCTCCGTCAGTTCTGTGTACCCTTATTTGGAGCTGGGTGCATACTGATTGTTTGTACACCTGAGCTGTCTCCTCCTACCTGGAAACTGTGGAAGAACCTTACAGTGGCACTGCCTGTTCTGTGCCTGAGGAAGCAGCTTTGGTTTTGGGGCTGTCAATTTGCTCCTTCCATCAGCATGAAAAAGAAACTGTGGACCAAGAAAGTAGGGCATGAATTGCCCTTGTCCCCTTTATAGGCTCCCCTCTTCCCCCCCACCCCCAGTGCTAAAAAACCCACAGCAAACAACACAGTCCCTGTTTGTTTATCTCTCTCCTCCTTGTTCACGCAGCTGGAAGGAGGTGGGTGCCGCAGCGGGGGCCGCTGTGGTTAATTGAAACGCTGCTCTCTAGCGTGGGTAGCTCATTAGTCCAGTGGCTGGCTCTGGAATTCTCATCTTGTCAGAAATGGGGATCGTGTGGCTCCTGCAGCCTCCGTGATGAGCGCTTCCTCCACCTCCCCCAGCCCGCGCATCCCACTGGAGAGCCGCTTAGGTGGGGTGTGCATCCACACGGCGTGTGCGTGTGTGTGTGTGCATGCAGGCGTGCCTGTTCGTGAGTCGGTGTGAGCTCCTTTTGAACTGGTTCACTCAAGGGCAGAGCGAATTCTGGGTGATAATGTGGTTGTTTCTCTGATTTTCTCCAAAGCTAAAGTTGCAAAATCAATACAGCAGATCTGATTAGATGTCAGAACCTGTTTCTGTGTTTCTCTTTTCTTTTTTTCCCCTCCCTCATGCATATAGTGCTGTATTGTAACAAACTAGCCCAGAAATAGGCTTTGCCAACTGCACTGCAATAGCGGAAAGAGAATAAGAAGACAAAAAGAACAAGTCAGCTGTCAAAAAAAAAAAGTGTTTGGTCTTTTTATTATTTATATACACATATATATATATACACATATAGCCAATGTGTATCAAAGGAGGAAAGAAAGAATGTGTGTATGTGTGGATCAGAGAAAAGGATGCTACTTAGACACAAATTTAGCAAGTACATAATAACAAATTGCAAAAAAACATATTAGCCATGTATCGTAAAAGCCTGGTCAAAATAGCATTTCCATGAATTATAAAGATTAGTAGTGACTCTAAACTCTAGGTGTTGCTAGAGCTGGCCTTTGAGATGACTGTCTTATCACGGGGAATATTATATTTGCTCTGTTAGAGCCTCAAAGACCAGCGCGGTGTAAATTGCAATCCTAGTAGATTATCCTGCTTGAATGATATTGTGTCAGCTCTGATGCTTTCTCAGTCTTGAACAGCATGTCATAAACTACTGGACAGCTCAGTCAAAGTCCAGCTCAGCCCTGCACTCCTCATCACACCTGATCCTTGATACATCTACTCCAGTATTTTCCCACAGATAGGTTCATCCTCCTTCACAGCACTGACTACTTGCTGTCTCAGGCCGTTGCTCAGTCACCTCAATGGGTTGTCCCTCTTTGGATAACCACTGAAGCCTGGTAGCAGAGCACTCATCTCCTCTGTTGAGAGATGCTAATTAGTTCACCAAATTCTGATGATTGGATAAGCAGACTTGTTCTGGTGTCATTTTTGTCTTTGGCAGAAGTCCCTGCTGTCTCTTAAGTGCCCAGAGAAAGAAGGGAAGAAGGAAGAGGAGATATTTATATAGGGTTGACCTTGTTTTGGATAGTCAAGTCTGAAAGATGATCCTGTTTCTCCTCTTTGGGTCACACAGCAGGTGAGATCTTGGCAGGAAGAAAGACTAGAAAAGGCATTAACCTGAGTGTCTCCTCCCTGGAATAACATGGCTTGCAAATTTGGCCCCTTCTGGATCCAAAATAATAGTCCACAATCTTCTGAGATTGATCTCCAAAGGATTACGCTTATTGCCCTTAGGTAGAGTTTTGCCACATTAAGCACCAGGTGGATAATTAGGCTTTATCTTCAAAGCATAGTGAACATTAGGTGTAATCAGGAAAGTAGACTGACATTCTCTTTGGAGGGGTAGTTACCATGGTTAACAGGACCTCAGGAGCCATTGCGTAGTCCTAGACATAGGCATTGCCATAGGGCTGGTGACCAGCAGGTCTGGCTTTGCCCTGACCTGGAAGGCAGCCAGAATACTTCCTGCTGGGGCATCTGTTGCCATTGTCGCTTAAACTAATGTTCAGGTAGGCACAGATATGTTTTCTTATTCAAGCTCACATGCTGGCAAATGTTATTCCTGGTCACACGCTGTTGACTCATTCCTCT